ACTTCTCACAAAAGGCCACGCACTGGCAGCCGGGCAAGGCGAGCGTCTTCCCCTGATCTCCTCCGCCTTCACAAGGAAGAGACTCACCATCGGGTCAGCCCCAGGGAGTCCCAGGAAGAGGAGGTGGACATGTCTCCACATTCTAATCCTCTTTACTATTCCAACACGAGCACCCCTCCACAACCACTCTCTCCTTCTCTGCTTGATGACCTGTTGAAATGGCCAGACAGCACAGACCAAACCCACAATTATGAGCTTTATTGCAGAAGAAATGGGTTCTAATTCAAGATCAGGTCCCTCGGAGAGAGGTCCTCAATCAAGATTCTCTCTTCTCAATCATGCTACCAGGCATGCCTCTCTTTGGTCATCCTCACACCCCCATGGTCCTGGCAAGTGTTAACAAAACTCAGTTGTACCAGTAAGTGCTCAAAAAGGCATCCACTTCACTAGCTAGCCTCTTGCCTAAAGTACTAAGCATCCTGGCTCCAGGGGCCTGCATGCCCACCGCTTGTCTCATGCTCCTGCTTCTGCTGCGGCCACCATTTCTCTGCGGCTGCTTCCCGTCAGCTCTCTCCGTCTCCAGCCACACAGCTCTGTCTGCCGAATTGAGAGGTCTCACACACAGATTTGGGCTCCAGGTACGCGCGCCACTACTGTCTCTTGTTTCTCCTGAGCGATCCCCCTTTCTGCACTTGGGATGGTTCATTTTAAACCTACGGGGATGGAAAAACTAACCAATCTCTAATGTTAGCTAACCAAATACTAGGGTTCCATACAGTTTCTTTGCATGGTTCCACCCCACAAAGATGCCATACACCTTATTTATGTTATTAGCAAACTACTCAATCTCCTTGGTGAACCACAAGCTCCTCACATTTGCACAGTCCTACCAAATTATTTGATGAGAACTACAAAGATTCTGTTGGACATACGGTTAACTCAATGGGTCAGTTGCTATGGGTCAGAACCTAACAACAACAACAATGTAATAGTGACATACAATAGTTACATAATAGTTCCGTGTCAATTTTATAAATAGAGTGAAAGGGTGGAGTTTAGCCTGTCAATCAGGTCACAGCTTGATGATCACTCCTGTGGGTGCGACCTTCCCATGAGGACTCTGGGAACTTCCTCTGTTTCTCCCTGGAGGTGGGCTACTCTCTCTCTCTGCTTCAGCTTCCTGTTGAGGAGATACACACTCTCTCTCTCTGCTTCACCTTCTCTCTCTGCCTTCATCTTCTTGTGGACAAGCCATGGGGAGCTACACTGAGACCTGTGCGAGCCATGTGGTGGAGATCTGCGGAGTCAGCCCTGTGATGCTTCCACTGCCATTGGATCCACAAGCGTTTTCACCCACCAGCATGTGGTCTTCCTGAATTTAGCATCATTGTGAGTGGCAATGCGAGTCTAAAGAGGAATTTATGGACTAGTATCAGACATATGGGCCAATACCAGATTTATGGACTTGATATGGACGGGGCTGGAATGTTTTCTCAATATACAATTACTCTTTGATATAAAGCTCTCTCTTACACAGATATGAGTGTCTGTGGATTTGTTTGTCTAGTCAACCTGGACTAACACAAACGCCATGGCTAGAAGAGCCATATTAAGCAATTCACTGCAGTGCTGTTCCTTAAATGAAACAAACGACTGCAGGCCACATAGCCTTAACTCTTCCAAGACCAAGGCTGCACAATAGGAAATGGCCCAAAGGAAACTCTAGTCACAAAGTAACTTTCTTCATCACCTTTCTTTTTAACTAATTGCCACTGAGACAATTCTGCTTCATATAGCAATGCGACCTTATAGGACCAAGTAGAACCACCCCTTGGGATTTTTGAGGTTGAAAATCTTTATGGGAGCAGAAAGCCTCAGTTTTCTCCCACCACATTTCCTGAGCATCAAGAAAAAGGGAAAATAGTCACAATCACGCAAAGGTAGACTTAAACTTGGATGTCATCTCCCTTAGTTGGTGCAGGATTGCTAAGACCAGCTTGCAAGCATGCTGCGATAAACTAGTGGCAGAGAAAGTACTGAATGAAAACAGAAGACCAGGACTGACATCTCTCTAGCACTTGTTACCTCATTAGTCTGGCCAAATTCTGCCACTCTCGCAGCCTCAGTTTTCTCACTGTATTGTACCACCAAGAATTGAGACAATGCTCACATCAGATGATGTGTGTGAAGAATAAATGCATAAGCCAGAAAGTACCAGTTCTTTCTGTTTGGGTTTTGTTTTATAGCAGAGACTTGAAATGGATCCCTGCCTACACTGGTTCCTAGTGCTTGCTCAAAAGCCAATGGAGATTGCTTATGACTAGCGAGCACAGGAGATATAATAGATCAGCAGCAGCTGATGGTCACAAAGTCGGTCATCTCAGCCATCAGATTCATGTCCAGCCCAACAAAGTCATTCTAAGTAGTGGGGCTCATTCCATCCCAGTGAATAGACGAGGCACTCTCCGAAAGATTGCTCCTTGGTAAACTAGCCCCCAAACCACCTGACCCTTTCTCTATCTCCCTCCCACTTAGTTCCTCACTGAAGCTTTTGTTCTCAGATGGGGTCCTTGATCTAGTTCCTGCACCTGTTGCCCATCTTTGCCAGCTCTCACCACAGCTTCATCTTTTCTTCTTAGCTACTTGCCCCAAAAAACACCTCTCCCAAATCAATCTGGCCCTGGGGGCTCTGAAACTCCCAATAATCTCTCCATGTGGGGCCACCTCAAGGTCAACATCCTCCAACTCACACTGCTCTCCAGGTAAAGCAAGCGAGATGGTGGCAACCAGAAAGAACAGAGGTGCCACATACCTTTGAGAAAAACATGGAATTCCAGGCTGGAAAATGTAGGTTAAGTCAGCATTACTTTTATAAAAACAATGATGTCGATTTTGTGGGGAGTGGGTACAAAAATATGCATGGAGGTACATAGAAAGATACCTGCCCTTTGCTTAGCAACTTATCCTTTGCTTTCTAGAAATTAAACCTCGTCCCAAAGACTTCAGAAAAGGGGGAAAGCCCTGGGGGGGGGCCAATGGTATTTATGATTAAAGGCTCAGAATCAAGGTCAGATTTGCAAGCACTAAGTGGTAGGCTCTGGCCAAGGTAACTCTGTCCAGGAACGGTGTGTGGGCCCAAAGGGGAAAAGGATGAAGAGAAGTGCAAATAGAGTGAGAAGAAACAACAGCCATGCTAAGGAAACTGGACAAGCAGTTGCTGGAGACCCTCTGAAAAATGCTGCACTAAGAAGACACACCATAAAGAGGCCCTTTTGAGATGATCATCTGACAGCAAATTGTCTTAACTTTTATTCTGGTTCCTGCCTCTTTGCCAAGAACCCCGAAATCCAATGGCATAGTTTGGAGTCTTTACCTGCTCCACAACTTTATTTAGATGCCTTGCTGTCATCCCATAGAAACTCATAGAGAACGTTCCCCCAAGTCATTTCCAATAACTCCCTAACATCCCCATAGTTCAGCCTTCCTTGCCATCTTTCTTTTTTTCTTTCCTCTTTTTTTTTTGCCTTCCAACTGAAACATAGACAATTGTCGATTCCAATTGAATTCTCATTTACCAAGTCTTGAGACTCTATCTGTTGGGCTCTACTCACCAACATTGCATAGTTCAGGCTCTTGTTATATAGTAAAGAGTAGAGCACTGGTTTCCTAATTGGCATCCCTTTGGGCAGTCTTTTAAATGGCCAGATCACACTGTAATCAGTACTGATTTTCAAATGTTCTCCAATCATCTACAATCCTCTGTGCCTCTATGTCTTCAACTCTCTTTAACCCTTCTCGGTCTGGAGAGAACCTTAGTGTTCATTCAAGACCCAGCTCAAATTCAAACCAATTTCTCCAGGTATACTGTCATTCTGACTTCCCTTCTGTCAGGGTTCTTTATAAACACCTTCAGTACAGTCCATGTGTTAGACTGTGTGGCACTCTTCCCCCATTAGACACTACAATATTATAAGTAGTCCTGCTTATCTTGACATCCTAGGGTCAAGCACAATGTCAAATCCAGAGATGCCAATACACATTGTAGGCTTTTCGGGCCATACAACCTCTGCCCAAACTGTCCTACTCTGCTGTTAAAGCACACGAGCAGTCATGTCCAATAAAGGGCTGCCATCCAATCGAACTTTATTTACAAAAACAAGTAGCAGATCAGTGTTGGCCTGCAAGTCATAGGTTTCTTATGTCAGCTCCAAACTCAACGATGTCCATCAAATTCATTTGGATCAGCTAATACCCAAACCTAGTCTTTGCCCTCTAATGATCACCTTATCTTATCCCAAAGTGGTCCGTAGTGAGAGCCTTTAAGACATTACTTTGTAGGCCAATCTAGCAGCCAGTTGTAGGACTGGCTTCAATGGCAGAGAAAGGAAATGTGGCTCTGAGGTAACGGCATGGCTGATCCTCATGCCAAGTCCCTCCCGTCACCTAGCCCCAAAGGACTATTGGACCCTAGCGAGGTGTCACTGCCTCCACAATTAGAACAAGCTTTACTTTCAATGAGGATCCGTGAACTCAAGCCCTCATTCTGTGTCTCCAACCTTTACTTGGCTCTCATCTCAGTGTCTGTAAAAAAGAAGATTATGTGAAGCACCAAATAGAAATAAGCTTCTATACTAGAGTGGGCCACAATCCTTAGCCTAAGCAGTGAAGCCCTCCTGAGGCTCCACAGGGCAGTTACCCAGCAGTTAAAAACCAATGCTTTAACTGAGACCTTCATGCTGAAGGAGCTGAGAAAGAGAGGGGTTTATTAAATCATGAGCTTCTTCAAGGTAGAAACCATGACTTACCTTTGCCTAGCGAGCCATAATGCCTGGCAGATCAGGAAATGTTTATTGAATGAGTGAATTAATTAAATGAAGATTCTAGATCAGTGAATTTGGTGATATTTCAAAATGATAAAAACCCAAAACCAGGAAGCACCATGCTGGGCCATTTTCCCAGGAACCGCGTGGAAGGTAAAACCCCTTCTCCAGCAGACTCACCATCTTGAGTGTTTGGACTCAGAATCTGGGTCCGGAGCTCCTCCAGACTCATCCCCAGACACCTACAGATCTCCTCGGGGCTGTAGGCTGCAGGGTGAAGGGTATCCTCCACGATCAGCAACATTTCTTCCAGGCTGACCCCTAGCTGGGCTTGGACTTCCTCCAGCCGCAGGATTGTACCCCATCGCAGGTTTTTCTGCTTTGCCAGAAGCTGTGAATTCAAAACAAGACAATGGTCAGTTTCCCTTTCAGCAACTGATATGTGCTATTTTAATTAAGCAAATCCAACTTTATACTGTTTCAAGGTTTTTTTTGGTTGGTATTTGGGTTTTTTGTTTTTCCATTCAACCTATCCAAAGTTTCCACCATTGCTTGGAAATGTACACTGAATTCAGATGTTTGCAATTAAATATACTTATGTGACCCTCATGGACTACAGCGTAGTTAAATATTTGTCCTTCCAAACACACACACACACACACACACACACACACACACACAGTAATCCTCCACTGCTTTTCTTTTTTTTGCCTGTCACCACTTTCCCTCAGGGCTATTTCTTTGAATAATTCCCTTCTTTTATCCCTATTCAGTCCATCCCTACTACAAGTCTTTCTATAAAGTCCACAGAAAACGCCTCAGATCTCGTGTGACCTGGATCCGGAGGTGGACACTGCCTGCCCGATCTCATTAGGGCACTTCCTGTTTACTACATGCCTCTTTGAAAATGGCTAATAAATGTAAGTATCCCGGCATTGGGAGCAAAGTCCCAGATTTTAAATGAAAACCGCACTGGCAACCTTATGAGAAATCATGTCATTAAGTAGCTGGTAGTAGAAGAGCTGTTAAGTTCCTCAAGTGTCTCCACTCTCCAAGAGTTTGGCTTCCAGCTGCATTCTGAGGTAGCCCTGCAGCCTGATGGAGTGTCCGTGCAAACACTCCTGGGAACGCCACTCCAGAACGAGTTTCTCTCGTTCTCTCCAAACCGCTGACTGAGCCCTGCAGAGCAAGTGACACCCAATGAAGACCGCTCTCACCATGAGGTCTACTCAATTCACCCGCTGGGTGTCGGGACAGCAGGTGCAGACCGTACAAACAGCAGACAGAGCCAAGCAAGCAGCGGGGACATACGTCTTCAAGAAAATGTGCATCTGATTTAGTCTCCTATTATGCCAATGATTTGATTTTCTTTTCGCCAGGAAGCGAGGCTTACCAAAAGACCATTGTACTTTGGTTAGGGCCACTTACTTCTGAAGAAGGTTAGTAACAGAAGTTCGTCTAGTCATTAATCCTCTGTTTAAAATCCTGGCTCATACATATGAAGGGAGTTAGTGAATTTAAGGCAAAACTGTGAAACAGACAATGGAATGATTTTTTTTCTGTTGAATTATTACGCTGAACATGGTGCCATTTTTAAAAGCAGGGCCAGGAGCTAAGACCTACCTGTTAATCCAGTTTGTTTAGCATTAGAAGGAAAACAAAAAATGTCACAGAGTCAATTTCAAATGATAGCCACCCTGGAAGAACAGAGTAAGCCGCCTCATCATGGGTCGCAGGTAGGAGTGGCGATGGAGCAGCCTGTCACATCTCTTGGCCACGGACAGACGGGTGGTTCCAATGCTCTCCTTTGCACAGTGGAGGTTACCGAGAGGGGCAGGGTAAGGAAGGAAAGATAAAGCAGTAGGCTAGAGCAGAGCCGGCAAACTTCTGAGACACCAGAGCCAATCCTGTCCCTCACAACACATTAAAAATTATTGGAGAGCCATAAATATATGTTTACAAACAAATGGAGTCACCATTGTCTGAATAATATCCTTTAAATGTTTTCAGTTTTACTTCAGAGCGGCATGTGGCTGGAGAGCTGAGCTTGCTGATCCCTGGACTAGAGGGCTGGCCAAGTATGAGCTCAGGTGAAGGGGAAGACAGTGATCCCCGACAGGCAGAGGAGAAGTCAGAGAGGGAGCAGGGACAGCTAGTAGGGGCAGGTTGAAGAATACTTTAAATGGTTGAATCCAAAACTGATCATCTGAAATAAAAAATCTCCGCCTAATTCACAATTAAAAAGAACACTGTTGAAAATCTTTTTTTAATGTTGCCTTTTGGTTAATGGCAGAGTA